TTTGTGCTAGCAGTCTGCCCAATGACCTTTGTCGCCACAGGAGGAAGAGGAGCTGCGCCGCTTGGCCTTCAGCCTCTATGGCGCCCTGGCCTCCTGTGCCTCCGGGAGGAGGTCGCTTTTCAGCAGAGAGGCAGAGGAGGCCTTTCCCAGCCTGGTGCTGCACCTTCGGGACCCGTCCCCAGCTGTGTGCAAGGTAAGAACCCCCAGGCATCCCACAGGAAGCCCCATGATGCTGCCTGAGCCGTGGCGGCGCTCACTCCCTTCCAGGCGAGGCTGCCGGAGTCTGCACAGGCCCCGGGTGATGTTGCCCCACCAGCAAGGTTCCTGCCTCAGTGCCCGGTTGGGTGCAGAGCGTCCCCATGACATGGCCCGGTGCTCCCGGTGCTCTTTTGCAGGTGTGCAAGCTCTCCCTGCACCTGTGCGCCCCATTCCTAGGCTCGAGGAGACTGCGGAGACGCATCCGCATGAGCATTGGGCTCAGCACAGAGGAGATGCAAGCCGAGATCTGCAGACACCTGGTGAGTGAGCTGCGCCCTGGGGCTGTGCCACTGTGTGGCCACCCACCCCGTGTCCCCCACACCATGAGGTCGMGGTGTTCCTGGCCATGGATGGGTGGATTGGGCAGAGGGGAGGAAAGCGGAGTGTTGGAGATGGGAATGAGCTCCTGCTGTTGTGACAGGCGCAAGACTGCCCCGTGCTGTTGGAGAGGCTCCTGAGCACATCTTGGAGCTGCTGCATGGGGAGCTCCCAGGCGCCGCAGCCAGCAGCCGTCCACGTCTTGGGTGAGCCGCAGCATGGGGCTGAGGTGCTGCTCCTGGCCAAGTCCTTGGCTTGGATCCCAGGTTGGATTCCTGGGGCAGGTTGGGGCTGTGGCCATGCCTGTGCCCTCATGGCCATGTCCTTGTTCCAGGCCTGCTCCGGGACACAGCACCAGCCGCGTGTCTACAGCAGCGGGACCTGGCCTTGCTGTTGGGAGGTAGGTACCTGCAGCTGAGCTGTCACCTGGCAGACTAGAGAGGCRTCCAGAGGTTCCATGGGTGCCAAAAGCCAGGAGCCTTGGGGATGGGGATTCCTTTAGCCCCACGGGTGCATCAGGGAAGAAAGCTCAGGCGAGCAGTGCGGGGCATCAGGGGCATTGCGCCCATGTGGCCTCCTCACGATGTCGGTGTCTTTGCAGCTCAGTGAAGGGGAGAGCACGTTGAGGAGCCCCGTGCTCGACGGGTGATAACTGCAGAGCTCTGCATCGGGGGAGACCAGCAGCTTAGAGCAGGAGGGCAGTAAAGCAATGTCTGTGTGGGGAGGCAGTGTCCGTCCTTGCGGGGCTGCAGGCGCGTGTGGCAACGGCCGTGGAACGGCCTACCCCACCATGTGGGCCATGCTTGGGGCCATGCGTGGGGACAGTGGAGAGCAGAGAGACTGGGAGCAGAGGGTGTGGAGGCAACGGGCTTCGTGGGCCGCTGCTAAGTGCCTTGGGCCCCCAGGGTCATGGGGAGCCCTGGAAGGATGAGGGGGGCACTAGTGAAGGATGCCAAAGCAAAGGCATCTACAATCTGCGTCAGTAGCAGCACACGGCAACAGATGAGCAATTCTCCTGCCCTGCAGCCCTGCTCTGATACATTCCTGGCCTGGCACAGCTGCCAGGCGCAAGGCAGAACTACTGGTCACACGGTTCCTTGGTGCCATTTCCTCTTTCTCCTTTGTGTTTTGGGGAGACAGAGGCATTGCTGCAGCAAAATATGTGGCTTGTAAAACCAGGAGAGTCTAGCACAGCTTTGCTCTTCCTTGCCCCGCTCGCTTGCGGATGACAGGTAGAGCAGGCATCGCCCTGGCAAGAGCCCTGCAGCCACACTGCCCTGTTGCTGTGCCCAGGACACAATGCTGCCACGAGCAGTCCAGCCCAGGAGGGAGGTGCTGCAGAGTGTCCCCATCAAAAGGCTGGTGGAGACTTAGCCACACATCTGCTGTCCCCCACGCACGGAGCTTTGGAGATGTTTCCTCTTTGGCCACTAGCGTCTTTTGCCTCCTTCTGTCTGCTGGA